GAGCTGTGATGAGAAGAAGAAAAACAACCTAAAGCTTTCAGTGTTATTCTGCTGAACACAATAAAAACTTTGTGCAAGGCACGTCGAAGAACAAACACACCTGAATTCAGACCTGATATCCTACGGCTTCATTTTAAGCCCTGTGTGCAACACTGAATGTTCTGCACTAAGAAATAGGAGGGATATAGATTTAACTGATAACTAATATTTATTTATTATTATTTTAATCATCTTCAAAGATTATCTCATGTTTGTAGGAAGGATAAATAAAGCTATACTAAAGCTCAGTGGTGTGTGTGCGTGTGTGTGTGTTTCATGCCATAAAGAGCACTGTGTTTAACTTTTAATCAAAGTCGTTCTGTTCTATATTTCTCAAAGTGACCGGTTTTATTTGTAATCAGTATTTCTTCAGATTTACAGACGGTGTTTTAAATTCTGTCTTTGCATTTTAAGCTGCTTTTCTTCTCATTTTTATCAAATCTCCAGAACATTTTTCAGGGGAATGTTTTTGACTCATGAATCATTCAAGAATAGAAAAAAAAGCTTCTGAATTCAAGGGATGAGCAAGTATTTGATCCACATAAAATAAGTCAACAAACAAACAAACAAACAAACAAACAAACAAGCAAACAAACAAACCAAAAGCTGCCAGGTTAAATACAATCCAATTTTGATGCCTTTTCTTGAATGGTTGTAGGTCTAAAATGGACCAATCCAGACTTGAGTTACTTTAACGCAGTGGTTCCCAAAGTGTGTGTGTGTGTGTGTGGTGTGTGTGGGGGGGGGGGGGGGGGGGGGGGGTATGTATGAATGAAAAAAAAATAAAAAATAAAAACAGTTACGCAAAAGTGTTTCACTGTAAAGATGGTTTGTGTGTTTTGTTGCAACCTGAAATATAAAATAAACTTCAGTGGAGTTTGAAAACAAAATATGTGTTTAGGTTAATAAATACCTAACAGAAAGAAGGCTAGTGTTATTCAAAATGAACAAATTCATTGTGATGATTAAATTAAATGATTTAAAATGTGTCAGTCAGAACAGTCCCACTAATTACACCTGATGCTGTAATTAGTGGGACTGTTCTTCACAGCTGGATTTTAGGAAAACCTTCAGGTGCTTCTTCCACCAATGGTTATCTTCAATCCACCATCCCATTAATCATTTCTTAAAGACGTCTTTTCAGATAGTTTATCTGCCGTAGACGGTGTTTTTCTTAAGCCTAACATTTTTCTCTCTGTCCACATCTTGAACACACATTCCACCTCAAGCCCAAGGACTGGGAAAAAAAGGAGATTGAAAATTCACAACATATCACTTCAAAAAAGATACAAATAAGTAATAAGTTTGTTTTTAAATACTTTAAAAAAAAGTTTTAATGTTACTTGAGTCTTTTTCTTCTAGGTTATCAATGACTCCCACCTGAAAACAAACTTGTTCTAAGGCAGAAATAATGGCTCATGGTCTCTTAACCCACGAAGCCACGAAGGCCGTTGTGTTGTTGGTGCGTTCTGGGAGGAGACAAACGATGTGAGAACTTCCCTCTGCCGCTACATCTGGACTCAGGCAGAGCAAGTACTGATTTAGGTCCACCCTGCCCATCAATCATTCAATCATCAATTCACAGCTGACCAATAGGGTTTCCCTGCCCTGGGCTGTTGCTTGGAGCGAACTGGAGTGCTGGCACATTGCTCCCTTTAATCTCCTTAAGTATTTGCTCCCACAGTCATATCAATGAGCCTGTCTGACAAAGCCATCAGTTCTGGAGTTGCAGATTTGCCTGAGCAGCCAGGACTCTGTTGGATCAGGAAACCATGCATTGGCTTCAGAGACCATTTGTTGGTTTCAATGATTCATTTGCCACTCAATGATGGCGAATTTAAAAAGGCAGCTTGGACTCCTGCCACTGGAGTCTGTTGCTGGGGAAATGGGAAATGATGCCAACAATTCCTCGCAAAAGTATTTACACCCATTCAACTTTCTGACATATTTTCAAGTTGCATCAAGAAACCCAAATGTTTTCTTTCCACTTCAAATTTGTGGGGTATTTTGCAGATGAGACAAAGTTGAAGTTACAGAAGGTGGAAAGTTTTAAACCTATGAATGCTTTTGCGGGGCTCACTGAAAGTAGAAATGTAGATCAGTCATAAAAAATATCAAAATGCAGCTTTGAACTGTTTTTCAGAATTGCAGCATTTAAGAAGCTCAGTTTGGAGAACGAATCCTTTTCACTGCCTTTGCAATGACGAGAAACAATGACTTAGTTTCTCTGTGTCTTTAAATGTTGCAGTTTCTCAAGAAAATAAAACATACTTTCTATGTTTTATTTTTTACTAATTGGGCATGGGGATGGTTTTCAGTCTGAGTAAATACTGAGTTTCCAGGGGCTTGTCAAACCAAATCAAGTCATGGTTTCAGGCAAGACAAAAAAATCTAATGAAAGACAACTATGGACCCTGTCAGGCTCCAAACTGACATAACACAAGCAACCTGATTAATTCAGTTCCAATGGAGTCAAAATGCTCATGTTTGTTGATAAAATTGATTTATTTTTGTGGTAAATATGCTAAATTTGTTGATCTCTGCAACTACAAGGTTTTTTCTTGGAGCTGGAAATGTGTAGCTGTTTGTTGTCTAACTGATTTACAATCTTTTCAAAATCACAGATGATGTGAGGATGCTTGTCCTGATTTTTCTTCTTTTTTTTGTAAGACGAAAAAACAAATTGAGGTAGAATATACACACTAAGAGCAAACAAATCTAAATATATTACAGTTCATGTTCACTAATTAATTTGTAATGTTTTTGCTGTTGAGTGAGCCTGTAAAGACTGAGCTCTCTTTTCATTGTCCCTGATGCGAATCCTTTTGCTCAACACAACTTGTCAAATCACAACTTGCAACAGCATCGACACATAAGAGGCAAAATAGGCTAAAGGGGGTAAGATTCTGGTTTCTCTTAACATTTGCAGCTGCACTTCAGCTTCTACCTTCCTTTGAAAGAAAAGCTCCACAGTATACAGGCCGTGGCTGACAGGGTATCCTTCATCACTATAACATCTCGCCTCAGAGGGAAACACTTGGCAGTGCAACAGAGAGCGGACTTTCCTTCCTTACATCGACTTTGGCTGTGAGATGCTGCCTGGCTGTTATCTTAAGTAGTAGTTTTGTGGCTGAACTAGTTCAATTCACCTTTATTGCAAAGCGCTCCATTTTAGCTTTTGTCTCGCATACTTCCATATATTTTACACAAAAATTGCCATTTGCAGCTTATTGTGTTTGTCTTGTTTTTGGGGGAGCTACAGCTCTAATGCTGACACTAGAAGGTATCAGATCAAATGCATAACGATGGATTTGATCTGAGGTACCTTTCAGTACCTAAAAATTAATCCTTTTTTTGCATATTCTTTTTTGAATTATAAAATAACAGGAAGGTAGAGCAGAGGAGGTTTCATGTATTTGAAGATCCCAGTGGGTACCTCAGAGTCTGGCAGATAAAACCCAAAACACCAGAAAAGTTTTTGTCTTGACTTTCACACTGCCTTGTTCATTAAGTAGTTGTCTCAAATCCATTTTATGTGGCAACTCCCCACCCAGAAATCATTAATATTTAACTTTTTATTTGAAAAGCAAGGAGGGAAAGAGGATGTTTTTTTGTTTGTTTGTTTTTTTTTTTAAGTTTGAAGACATGAAAATGGTTTTGAAGTCTTATTGTTGATATCTATGGCCTAAGATAAACCAGAGGTATGACGAAAATGGCAAACGCTAGATGACAGAGGAACCTGAATAAACTTTGCTACGGAGTTAGGCAATATAAAAATCAACAGTAAGCGGAACAAGCCAAGTGACAAAAATAAAATGAACCAGTTGAGCACCATAGACTAAGGATCTTGCAATGAATAAATTAAAGTACAAGACATGCTGATGGAAAGTAAATATAGGTCAGGTGTGAAGGGAGCAGAAAGCTAAACCAATACACTCACTGTGTGCATAAAACTTAGAATAACTTTTCAGGTTTGTTAGAATTTTTTATTTATTTATGAATACCCTCATTGATATTAGAGCAAGTTGCAGCCATCAACAAAGGTTTCCCATAATTATTGCTGGCTGTTTAACCTCTCGTCTGACATTATATAGTTGATCTAATCAAGGCTTTAAGGTCTTAGCTCGTTCCTCTCTTTACAAACTGGACCGTGTCCCAGATTTAACAAGAATGTGAAGGATTGCTGTGAACGAAAACCAACCAATTTAAACAAATTCTGCAATTTCTGACAAAAAGACGTCTCAAATTTTCAGCCTAAATCATACCAGCTCCCTGATGATGACTTAAACAATGAGTGTGCATCATCTGCAACCTGGTAATTAATCCAAGTATGTGTTCAAAAGTCACAATCAAAGATTTTAAACATGACTGAAGTTGTGCAACTATTCCAATCTGATATGAGAACAATACCATAAAGTTATCATAATTACTATATGAGTGAATGTAATCTTAACCAGCAACATAAATAAAGATAAATAAATAAAAAAAACAGTTACTGAAATGGGCAACAACAGGAAAAAGAATAGACTCTCAAAAGATCTTTAATTTACTCTTGCAGGCAAATGCAAAGAAAGGATCTTCTGCATCACTGGATATTTTTCCTCCTCATTTATGTTTCCAAAAATGTTACAGAACAATGAAAGATGCATTTCTCATTGCTTTTTAAAAAGAACTTTTTGCACAACCCCAAACGCCTGGTTCAGATAAAGGCCGAGATCCTGACTGATAAAACGTTGCGAGCAGGTGTGTAACACCGTGTACTCTCTTCACCCACGTGACGCTTCAGTGCAGTGGACGCCTCTGCGCGTTCGCGTCGCCACCGTGCACTTTCCTGGGAAAAGACTGACATGCACGCGCAGCAAGAAGTCGCGCCCGCGAGTCATGACACTCATTACAGTACAGTGTCATGATCCAGGGTCTATTATGTCAGCTGACTTTGTGTCAGATTCACAAGCTGCATTTTTGGTGTTTATTGTACTTGTTTGAGACTTATATCAGTTCGTGACAGATGAGATTTGAAATGGTTTTGGGAGGATGACTGATGCTCAGCTGATGTCTTAAGCTTATTTATTGTTATTTCGGTGAGATTTTTCTTCACTCCGGAGTGATCATCAGCAGGGATCTCGCCTTCTGGCCGCCGTGGCCGTGCGGCGCGCTCCCGCCCCTCCGTCAGGAGGAGACTGGTGCTGAAGCTGACGAGAATGAGGATGCGGACGATGATGGCGGTGATGGAGGAGCAGCGCTGAGTTTAGTCGCTGTTTTCTCCCCTTCCCCCCCTTTTTTCCTATTGACATTTTTTATATATGTATGTTCATTTAAATTAGGGCCTCACAGAAACAAAAAATAATAATAATAAAAAAAGAAAAAGCAGAAACGCTGTCGATTTAACCCAGCCTGCCTTCACCTCCCTCCAATCTCCTGAGCTCGCACAGAGATGGGGAACGAAGCGAGCATGGAGGGCGGCGGGGAGCCGGGAGCCGCCGGGATGATGGGGTCGCCTATGCCCGGTGGACCCGGAACAGGACCGGGGCCAGGACAGCATATGAAGCCGGTCAACGGGGCAGCTGCCGGGGGAGGAATGGGAGTCGGAGGCCCTGGCATGGGGATGGCAAGGTAGGAGCAGCAGGGTTGGCGTTGCTTGGGATGGTCGGAGTGCAGGGTGGCACTGTGTGTAACGTTTTATCCAGCACGGAAATGCTTCACAGCAAACGGACAGAAAACATGACATTTGATTTGGAGACAGTGTCAAGATTAACGGGATGTCACGCAGACACCCCCTTTCGCTCGTGTAAGATGTGGAAAAGGACAAGATGATGCGTTCTGATCGGGAGAAATGAAACACCAGAGCGCTGTCCCCGGTGCTGAAACGCTACAAGCAGCACTACTGAGTCAAAACTGTTCATTTCAGCACGCATTTCTGTCTACGGAGTGGGGATAATTCCGCATGTGAAGGTGGCTTACAACCACCATGTTGGTCAGCAGAAAGCCTGCATGGTGCTGTCTTGGATACGGATTGAAATGATTTGATTCCGCGGCGTCATGTGCTGTAATAGTATTTCCTCCCTCCTTGGCTCAGCAGCGTAGTGCGTTGCACTAGCAGTTATTTGCAGACCGTGCCATTGTGACTACCTATCATTATAGGGTCATTTAAAAAGCTTGATTGTAACCATGTCATTAATTAAAGTGACAGGAGCTTCTTTTTTTTCATGCTGAAGATGGGATGCAGCTGGATGCTCGAAGCGCCTTCATACCCTCACGTGTTTCCGCATGGATGAGGGGGTTTAGTATGAATGCGTGTGTGTGTGTGTGTGTGTGTGTGTGTGTGTGTGTGTGTGTGTGTGTGTGTGTGTGTGTGTGTGTGTGTGTGTGTGTGTGTGTGTGTGTGTGTGTGTGTGTGTGTGTGTGTGTGTGCCTCTGCTTTTTTTAGTCATGTAGGCCTGCATTTGATTTGCAGAGTTAGCATCTTATGAACATATCAGTGTTCATTGACTTACAGTGACATAAAGTCTGACAAAAAAAATATGTATATATATATATAGGCATATATATATTTAATGTATATTCCCATACCGTATCTGTGGTATCGTACCATGTGCAGCACAGCATACTGTCCCATAAACCATTTGTAAGACCAAACCTTGGTCTTACAAATGGTCACAGAATCTTAAGGACCTATTCTCCTCCATGCAAATTTTCAAAACATGTGGATCGTGTTTATTGTTCAGTCAGCACAACAAAAATGTGTAATGACTTTAAAAAGCTGCAAGCCAATGTATCACTTATCCCTGTCACAAAATGCATTGTCAACACCTGCCTAGAGCTGTTAACTGGCTATAAAAGAACAGTTTCAGTCCAAAACATCTAAAGCTTTACAACTTGAGCCATGTGCCATGCAAAGCTTAGTCTTTCAGCCTCTTGCTCACAGTTTACATGGGACCTACACACCAGTCAGCCATGGCATGGCGTTCCACTTGCCTAAGGCAGAACTGCATGTGTATTTTTAGGATTCAAAATCAACCGAAACAAGAATAAGCATGTGAAAGTGAGATGATTGTTGTTGTGTGTGCCTAAGCGCCACAGACTGTGAGTAGAGTTTCACCTGATTCTCAGAAACGCCATCAGATCCATTCAGATGAGAATTTCACCAGTTTGTTAAAGACTGCAGATCATCAAGCCTTTTCTAACGAGTGATTGTGGTTGAACTCAACCATAAAGTACATAAAGTGTGCAGGTATTCTCTGCCAGACATCACACTGTTATCACTAATATAAAAATAATAAGGTTTCATTTTACATTAAATGATAAACGTTTTCCCCACACACCAACATTATAAACAAATTTCATTGCAAAGCAATACTTAATACAGCAGTTTGTAAGATTGTTAAACCAAACACCAGTTAAATACCATTCTCGCTTGAGTATCAATAGAAACACAGCTAACAAAAGATTTGCAATAAATAACTTGAGAAGAACATTTGACATAGAAATGCAAATGAACTTGCATCTTAGCTGTCACCAGTGACAGCAGATGACAGGGACATCTCCCCTAAGGGTAACACCTGGAAGAGACTGAACATAATGTAACATGCTGCTGTGCACAGAGCAGAACTACTCATTTTCCACTCCTCTTTCATATACTGTCTCTGCACACAAGCTGCACAGAAACCCAATCAGGATGGAGTTGTTGTTTTTTTTGCAGGATTTCAGCAGGAATGGGGCTGCAGCTGGTCAACATGCACCAGCGCCAGTGTGTGCAAACTGTATTCAAGACACACCCTGGGATTCATTCATTCGTCCATAGGAGGGAATTACAGAGATGCCAGTGCCTGTCCGTTATTACATAACACAGGAACTTGCAAAGCAGATGACAGCTTCAGCTCTCTGCCTACAACCAACAGAAGAATGGAGCCGGTACCGGTTCTAGTTCTAGTTATTATCCGGGTTTACGGGATTCCCTGTCCTCATCAGTCTTGTGTTCTTTAGTTTTGGTCATTTTTGTTCTTTTTCTTCACACCTGGCTCTTGCATTTTAACTCATTCTGGGTAAAAGAAATAACATGATAGTTTTTGTAGCTGCTCCTCACATTAACTATTTATACCAGCATAACGAGAGGCCATGTGAACAGATTGAATCACGTGGAGAGCGTGTTTGCTCACCACCCGCCCATTTCTCTTTCTGGTTCTCACACACTGCCTCTGTGCCTGCTCACATCAGTCCTGCTCACTCGCACTCTCTCTCCTGCATACGTACGTGCATCGGTTCTCTCCTCTTCCAGTGTATATTCGTCTTTTTTTGTGCCACTCTGTGAAATTAGCTCAGCCTTACAATGGATATTTGGCTATCCTTCCATTTTTATTCATTTATTTTTGTTTTAGATGTCTGGCTAGATGATTTTTATTTTTTGTTTTTGTATCGTCTAGCCTTGTTGTTTTCTGAACTTCTACGTCTTAATTTTGATTCCTCGTTAAGCCAGATCATTTATTATACAAAATGCAAAAGTAGACACAACCCTTTAACTTTTTTATACTTTGTTGCAATAAAATCACAGATGCTTATTTGTTATATTATCTAAAATGTAATAGATTATGGAAGGAGAATAAACAACATGATTTTGAAAGAAAATAATTAGATTTGCTCTAAAAATCTTTTACAAATGATCTGAAAACATAGTGTTTTTATGCGCTCTGCGACAATTTCCACTCTAAAAGTGGTATGTCAGTCATCTTTTTCTCACAATGTAAAACTGACAAAAATACCTGGAGGTTTGTTTGTTTAAATTTGACAACAGGCGAAAAATCCCAGGGCTGTGAATACTTTCCTCAACTGTTTACACTGATTCCAACATTAAATCATGGGTCTCGTGTTTGCAGGACTGTCTCTTTAAGAATAACGGTATCATGCATCATCCAGAAGAGAGTAGGGCACATTTCTTCTTTTCCCAGTCCAGTTATCTTACTGAGAACAGCCCAACACGTCACTCTCTCTCTCTGCACATAAAATCTTCCTCCTTTTCCTTTTTCCTTCCTCCCTGCCCTCTTTTCAAACACTGACTTGCAGCCAACAAACGGCTTTTGTTTGAGCAATAGGATACAAGCTCTCTCCTGTAAAGAACGGGAGTGTAAAGATAAGAAAAGAGCGAGGGGGAAGGGGGAAGCAGGGAGAGAGTTGAATAAGGTGAAAGGGTCGAGAGAAAGGAGTGAGAGAAAGATGGTGGAAGCAGATGGAGATAAGAGCCACAGTGACACAAGCGGGACCGAGAGTCTGACGCGAAAATAATATATCAAAAGATAAACTGATCTCTTTTGCTTTTGTCTGGAATCGTGTGAAACTGTGAAATTGTAAAATGTATAGTTATAAAAACATTCGATTTCAAAGTTCTTTGAAGCATATCTTCCTGTTTTTCGGCTCGGATTTGATTTGAAATTAAGAGACCCGTCAGGAATGCAAATCTGAATTTGGCTGTAATGTTTGACCAAAATGTGGCTTGAATTGTTTGTTGCTTGTAACTGAGTTTGAACGTGGCCACATGATTACAGGGTATCGTTATGAGTTGCAGTGATTTGAGTTGAAAAACATAACTGGACAGCAAACTAAATAACCAGATTATAGCAACTTCCACTGGCAAAATAGCACAATAAAAATATAAAAGCTTGAAATTATAAATAGTAAATACTGCACATATAATAAAGATATAAACATGTAGACTAAAAAACAGGAAAAGTCTTAGACAATAAAGGGAAATAAAGACAAGAGGAATTTTAATGTGTTGAAGAAATTATCAGTGCTCTGGCTAAAAAGGTCTGGACACTGTTACATGTTAACCACTGGAAAAAATATTATAATATAGACTCAAAACAGAACAATTATAAAACGTGAAAAAATATTATTTTTTCTAAATATCTTGCTCTAATAAGCCAAGTCAACTGAAGTAGAATAAAAATAGTAAAAAATGAAAAAATTTCAGAAGCAGGCACAATCTATTAAAAAAAACCTTTAAAGAAGATGAATGACACTGGATTTCTTTACAACAACAAGCAGCGTTGACTGAATGAAGCACAATCAGTCAACGCTGGCTGCTGCCAACATGACGGAGACCGACAGGAGCTTGGTCTTCTCAATGCAGAGTCAATTTGTGTGCTGTCTATGCTGAAGTTGCTGAGTTTCTTCTTTCCTTTTTTTTTCTTCATATGGGTTTTAAATTGTTTGGCCGTGGAAAAAAAAAATGGTCACATTTTCACTTCCAGTGAAAAGACTGCTGAAAACAGGGGGGTGATCAAACACAGTGGCACATGTAGACTTATTTTTAAACGGTTTAAGCAAGAAGGGAGAAAAAAAAGAAGCATCGGTAAAAAGATTCAAAACGACACGTGGAGTCGATGAAATGGAGAAGAAGAGTTGATCTTTCCAGATGGTTCAAAGAAACGAAGTGAAAGAGAAGCACATATGGCGCAGGCAGCACTCTTGCTTTTGCATCATGAATTTATTACTTACTGGCTCAACTTAAATGAATGCTCGACATCTGACACAGAATACACTCTAATGTGTGTGCATGTAAGAAGATGAATGTGTGTGAGTGTGTGTGTTTTAGGTGGGATTTCTTAACTCAAACCAAC